AAAGAGTGCCCTGAGCCTAAAATATGTTGCCTTTACCAAGGTAGTTATCGGTAGGTTTCGGATTCTCTTGAAAACAGAATTCATTAATTCAACGAGGTTAGTTGTCATGTGGCCCCATTTAATCCTATTGTCATATGCCCTTGTCCATTTCTCTTTGTGAATATTATCAATCCATCTTAATACATCTACGTTTGTCAGTATGATCTCGTCACGGTAGTGTTTGAATATGGGTTCTGTTAGTGTATACCATGTGTTCACAACCTTCTTCCTGAGCGTTTTGTCTTTGATTTCCCGCATGAAATTTTGGGTGATGTGTCTTATGCAATACACATGGTTTGTGGGAGGATCCTGCCAACTGTTATCAAGATTCTTGTATGCATTCTCTATCAAAGATCAAACATAAGTTAGGATGGGGAGAAACGTATAACTGGAGATTTTTTAAGAAAAAACTCAAACCCTCAGCAGTTTCCCCTTCAACTAGAGCGAAGGTTATTGGAAAAATATTGTCGTTTCCATCATGTGCCACAACCATGAGTATATTGCCCTTATATTTCCCGTACAACCATGTGTCATCAACTTGAATAATAGGTTTATAGTAAGAAAAGCCTTTGATACATGGTTCAAACACCCAGAAGAGTCTGTGAAAAATGTCATTTCCACTAACGCAAGTCCCATATGGTGTATACACCGACAATGTCTCCAAGATGGCAACAGTCCCTGGAGAATATTGTTTAAGTGCCACCAAGTATTTTAGAAGTTCTTTGTAAGACTCCTCCCAATTTTCGAACACCGTTTCAACTGCCTTAGTCCTAGCTATCCATGTTTTCCTATACGAAGAATTGCAATTGTATCTTTGAACCATATGTGAAATTATGGTACTCACCTTCAAAAAAGGGTTGTCGTAATGACCGACATAATTTCATCGCAAATCAATTGAGAGTTGAGCTTGTGATGGTCCTGCATTGGATTCGTGATTATACAAGTGTGTTTTGAACCCATTGACCCTATCTTTCATGAATCACTTCTCTTCTGAAAAGACGTTGTTAATCGAAACGGGCACACCTCGTTATGACAATAGATCTTATACATAGTCGAATTTGTTCGATCGACTATATAATCTGTTGATAAGTCCGTGTGATATTGTTTTATTGCTCGGGCATAATCTTCTTTTGTATGAAAGTTGTCTCCCTCTTTTAATACTCTTTTTGTTCGCAATTATGGATTGTAAAAAACATTTGTTGAGGGTTCATCGTCACCTAAGTCGAGACTTTTCATGTGTTGAAGTGGGTAATAAACATGACTGGCTGGTACTACGTCTTTCTCATTGTTTACCATGTCATCAACAATGACTTCAGCTGCTTCTTCTTCTTCGTCGATGGCATCGACTTCAGCTTGTTCGTCATCAGATTCGTAAAAAACTTGAGAAGAATCAAGTTGTTGAGACAGTTGTTATTGTTGTAACGTAATATATAGCTAAATATTTGAGAAACCAAAATACTCATGACTGAGAAACATGTTACTCATATCTTCATCGTCTCGAATCTTTAATTGAAAAAATTTGCATTGCTCGTGCCCGCCAATAAACACAGGATTCTTGTAGATTATTTGGCCAACTAGACCACCCTGTAATTTCTTTTCTAATCTAGCTTTCAAATGTAAAAATTTTGATCTTCTATCAATCAAAAACCTAGTAACGTCTGTATTTCGAAAATTAAAACCGGCTGAGTTACATTAAAAAACCTCACCGTTTAAATGTGCACTTGATCATGTATTGTGGTGTTTGAGCCATAACAAATACGTTACTAAATTCGTGTTTGAACGGATTGTTTTATGTGTTTGGAGGGATATGTTACTAAATGATATGCTAATAAAACAACTATATCTATTGTATTAACAAATACGTTACTAAATTCATGACTACATACCACACGATCCATTCATAGAAAGATACCTAGAAGCATGTGGGTTTGGTGATTTGATAAAAATCAAATGGTACTAACTGGATCCAAAATTTATTCTAGCATTGCTAGAACATCGGAGACCAGAAACCCACACATTTCACCTTCCTTTCAGTGAATGTACAGTCACTTTACAAGATTTTTACATGTTACTTGGTCTACACATCAATGGTAAGGTCGTCAACAGAGGAACAATTGAGAGCATCACAGAGTTTGTAAGTATTTTGCTTTTTTTTTTGTCATTCTTTACTAAGTTGAATTTTTCTTTAAAACTAATGCTATTTATATTCTTTTGCATAATGTATCAAGGTTTCGCTGTCGTGTGCATGACTACATACCACACGACCCATTCATAGAAAGATACCTAGAAGCATGTGGGTTTGATGATTTGATAAAAATCAAATGATACTCATTGGATCCCAAATTTATTCCAGCATTGCTAGAACGTTGGAGACCATAAACCCACACATTTCACCTTCCTTTAAGTGAATATACTGTCACTTTACAAGATGTCTACATGTTACTTGGTCTACACATCAATGGTAAGGCCGTTAACAGCAAAGTTGGTGTTAATGACCAACTTTGCGAAGATTGACTGGGTGACTCTCTATGTGTCGAAACACCTCAGCCACAACGTGAAGGTCGACTGAGGGGGCAATGTATTAATTTTAAATACCTCTGAGAACATTACAATAGTATCGTGTTAAATGAGGAATCCACTGAGTACGGGAAGATACTTAAAACTCGATGCTATGTTATGATATTATTTGGTCATTTTTTTATTTCCATAAAGTACTGGAAATAGTGTAAATATTATGTATTTACCGTTGTTGCACAACATTAATGAAGTATGCACATATAGTTGGGGTTCAGCTGTCCTCGTCCATCTATATTTTATTATGTAAAAATGCAAAATAAAATTCTTGTACTTTTTATGGATGCACCTATCTCCTTCAAGCGTGTGGTTGATCTAGAATGCCAACACTTGCTTCAATCAACCGGAATCCATTCACATTCTCATACGCTAACAAGTAAGTTTATTTTCAATACGAGTATATCAACGATGTTTCTTTGTAACTTAATTATTTGTGCAATGTTTCTTAGTAACTAATTTAGTTATTCCTCTTTTTTTAGGTGGTCTGTTTCGGGAATGAATTACCAAAGATGTCCTATGAACTCCATAATCGTCTACCGCAATCTTATATAACACATTTGGCCAGATGATGTAATTTATCTATCAATGATGTCTCATTACTTTGTCTATTTAATAACCACACACTTGCTTTTCTCATTAAATCTATTATTAATGTAGTTTGTCTGGATGCCGTACAAGGGTCTCAACCATCATCCCAATGCCAATGATGCTTCCGTGTGGACAGCTAAAACACCTATCATTCAGTTCACTAGTGTAGAGATGCACCAAAGTGATAGGGTGAAACTACAGTTCGGGATGCATCAGGATATTCCAGTCGCTTAGACGTCTTTGATAGACTGACATCAACTAAAGGTGGATACACAATGGATTGTAAATCATCGAAAGGACTTTGCAAAAGAGATGTGTCTGCATTGGAAGAACCGACATCGAGACATCTTAACCGACCCTATTTTAGAAGGGGTTAGACCAAGTTATCAGTATACGATTTGGTTTAGGTTGATTACAACACCATAATAATCTGTGTCTGAGCTGACATATTTGATTGACCCAAGGCAACATGCGTCTTCTTCAAACACACAACAACAACCCAATGCCCAACATCAAATACCATGCTATACTCAACATCCAACTACGCCCATCCAATCAATCTTCCAAAACCGTAACACATACATGCTACCAACCCAATCACAATAACAAGAGCTTTACACCTACCACCAACCTCCAGAAACTGACACCACTTCTGCCTATAGCCCTGATAACTCTTTCGACCCTACCCTATCCACCTATAGCCCCAATAACTCTTTTGACCCCACACCAGCCAACTATAGTCCCCCACGAATGAACACATAATCTTCCTACATACAATATACATATCCACTTTTTGACTACCAAATCCCATAACAACCATTACATCGTTTCTAAACCGATTTGATGTACCAAGTCGGACAACCATACCGTCCACACCCGACTCAACCTCCCCGTCCCAACTACGAAAACATGAGCATTAAAACTGAATTACGGAAGCACCGTTGGCAGCGTCCCCCAGCTATTGGGGTCAAATGTTTCAAAATTCATCTGATACGCCGAAGCCATCTCAACAAATACCTCTTCCACAGGTCAACACACAAAGACCAAATACACATCAACAAGCTCGTGGTAGACCTTAACGCCGCACAAATCTTCCCTAATGTGGAACCAGTGATCGTTTTGATAGAGCCGGTCATTGATTTTCCTTTTTTCATCTGTTATACACTATTTTTGTTTTTTATATTAAATATTTAATTTATTATTTCTCTTTCATTAATTTTTTTAAACAAAAAACATATACACTGAGGTGCCATATGCTATGACGCCTCCTCAGTAAGTCTAGGCAACATTTTAATAGGTGGCGCCCATATGATTTTTGCCTTCAGCTACCCGCCATTTCATATGACATCTCAATGATAATTTATAGCCACTTTAATATTTTTTTTAAATTCTATGATATATGATACTTTTATTAAAAAATATAATTATTTTAAAAAGAAATTCCTAGATTCACTTGTAAAAGCAATAATATGTTTTTGCAACTTTATTTTATGCATTATTTTTTGGTAACTGCATAAATATTAAGGTAGTAACATAAAAATATTCAACCGTTATTGATGCAATTTAATATAATATTTATTTTTATAAATAGTAAAAATTAAAAATTCGAAGCGAGAGAGTGAAGGCCGGTAATAATAAAACTCAAAAATAATTTTATTTATTTATATTACACCTCCAAGATTTGTACTTGGTACGAGGAGATAGATAGAAGAGATAGAAGAGTAGAGGTTAGATAGATAAAACTCATAAGAACTCGAGGCGGCGTGTGAGGAGGAATAATCACATCAAGTTTCATCATCATGAAATCAGCGGCTTCTCCGTCGAGCCAAATATGGGTAATGCTTGGTTTGGGTTTAGCCGGAATTTACGTTCTCACCAGAAAACTTACACAAGCTGTCAAAGAAGATTTCGGCGCTTTCATTCTAAAGCTTAAGTTGCTTCCTCCACCGCCTCCCGCTCCTCCCAAAGCTCCTCACCCACTCTCCTCCCTCAATTTCGCCGTTACCGACATGTATCTATTCTTTTCTAATAACCTAATTTTTGTTTATTACTATTAGTTTTCAATTTGAATTCTGAGAATTTTGATTTTGATTTTGTTCAACAGTTTTGATATAGAGGGACACGTGTCGACGTTCGGACATCCGGAATGGGCAAGGACGCATGAGCCTGCTTCTTCTACATCTCTTGCTGTTTCTACTCTTGTTGAATCCGGTGCTACTTGTATTGGAACTACCGTTGTAGACGAATTGGCTTATGGGTAGGTTCCTCCGGAAAAACCCTACCTAGGGTTTTACTATGTTTTATTCCTTTTTTTTGGATTATATCATCATCAGATAATAATAATAATACTAATACTAATAATTGTTTGTTATTTATTGTTTCAGCATCAGTGGTGAAAATAAGCATTTTGGAACACCTACCAATCCTGCTGTTCCTAATCGTGTACCGGGCGGTTCCTCTAGTGGTGCTGCCGTTGCTGTTGCTGCTAATTTCGTTGATTTCTCTTTGGGTCAGCTTCTTAACTTTTCTAATTGTAATCCTATAGAATTACAGAATTACATTTTTTGCCACTAACAAAACTATCATGTAAGCAGTTTTAATCTTTATTTTGAGTAAATCTATGTTTTTAAATGTTTTTTCAGGTATGGTAAGTTTAACTTTTTTAAGAGACGAAAGATTTAAACTTTTTGAATTTAAACTTAATGTAACTCAGATAAAAGTAACAAAAATATAAATTTAGAAATCAAAATTTGAATTCATTTTTTGTGGAGGGATTTTTTATAATTTGCTAAACATGTTTGCAAAAAATATAGTAAGTGTATTTTTGGAAGAAATTCAAAATGTAATAGCTAATAATTTAAATTACTTGCAATACAATTTAATAGGATTGAAAAGTGAGTATTTGATGGGGACGAAAAAAATTGGAGGCACCCTATGATACCCAAGTTCCAGTCCTAATTTTTGATGGATGATCCGTGATAGGGAAAGACCACTGTAATTTTAAATGAAAGTATTATGAACAAAAATAAAATATACAATGTTTTATGAGATTGAATGTTGGGTGGTAAAAAAGATAGCTAGAAATTAAGCTTAGTGTTGCATATATGAAAACGAAAGGAATGAGTGGTCATACAAAATAAGACAAGATTAGATTTAGGAATGAAACCATTTTAGATAAAGTCATGATAGTTCTCTGTGCACAAAAGTTGGTAGAGAAGACATATGGAGGATAATCCAATATAGATTTTTGACGAGGCATTAAAATATTGTTCAATCAGTATTGTTGACCCTACAGTAAAACACTTTCGTTGTTGTGTTCAAATGTTCAGAATGAACTTTAAATCCAGACATTTAAATGTTCAATGGATTGTGCAAATACTTTTTCTGTGTTGGGATGCTGCAATAATTTCATGACTGCAGAATAAGGTAATCAAAACATGAAATTACATGTTGCATGGACAAATTTAACTCAAATGTTTACTGTATTTAAAATCCAGACATTTGTAACTTTGAATTATTTGTTCTACTTTACTTTTTTGCACAATCCCGTTGCCACTTGATATATATATATATATATATATATATATATATATATATATATATATATATATATATATATATATATATATATATATATATATATATATGTATGTATATATATATGTATGTATGTATGTATGTATGCATGTGCATATATTTATAATTGTTTGGTTCAATGCCTTCAATATGCTGACATGTAAACATGTGTCCGATACATCATTGTTATTACAGGCGTTGACACTTCTGGAGGGGTGAGAGTACCTGCTGGATTCTGTGGGATACTTGGATTTCGACCTTCACATGGTGCTGTTTCTCATATTGGAATCATACCCGTTTCAACAAGTCTGGACACTGTTGGTATGATTGATTCCATTATTTATTCTCGTGTAATATATGGGGTTTTATGCTTAAGTTGCTGATTTATTTATTTACTTCGAATGATTAGTATATTTGCATGGTATAAAGATCAAGTGCAAGCTTGGACTTCATTAATTTGTAGGGACTTCTCTAGATGCTTTCTTTGGGAATATTTTGATTATAAATATTTAAACGCAAAATCTTAAAATAAACTAAACCACGCCAGGAAGAGGATAAAACAGATGTTTTCTTACAGTCGTTTATTTTAATTTTCTTCATATTGTTACTGGCACTTTCTTGGCTTTATATACAGATGCTGTACTTCTACCATCTGCTACAGTTTTGAAACTCATTTTACCCCTGAAATGCTCTTTTCAGGTTGGTTTGCAAAGGATCCTGATGTATTGCGTCGAGTTGGGCATATACTTTTACAAGCACCATTTGTAATGCAACGCAATCCCAGGCAAATCATTATAGCGGATGACTGTTTTCAACACCTAAATGTTCCTCTTGACAGGTCTTCTCAAGTGGTGATCAAAGCTACTGAGAAGCTTTTTGGAAGTATGGTGCACTTCTTTTCAGTTTAATATTATCCTTATCATTTTGGTTATCATTGATAGCTCTTGCCTCAGTTTGTGTGTTGGCATGTTTTTTTTTTTGAATAATTTGTGCTTGTTCTTACTATATTGCTTACTGTTAATTTTTTTTTCAATATCAATTATCTTCAGAGCAAGTATTGAAGCATATTAATCTTGAAGACTATATAAGTTCTAAAGTTCCCAGCTTGAAGGCTTGTTCCATCCAAAAATCAAATGGCGCATTGAAATCTTCTTCATTAAAATTGCTCGCCAATATTATGCAATTTCTACAAAGGTTAGTTGGAAATATCATTATACTTTGCAATTTTATGGCAAACTTTGAATGGAAGTGGTGATTTTTTCAGCTTATCATTTGGTAGAGTTGTTTTATTTACATTCATCAGTTTTGTTATATTATGTTTTGGTTTGATCTACATGTAGAGTTTATCATATACTAGTTCTTTCAATTCGTCTTCCACATTGTGGGTTTACTTCTTTGTACATGTTCTGTATTATGACCGTTGCAGAAGCCTCAAATTGACTGATAGTGTGATAATTTTTTTGCCACTCTATTTGTGCAGACATGAATTTGAACATACACATAATGAGTGGATGAGCATAGTAAAACCTGATCTTCATCCAGCTGTTTCAGCACAGTTGCATGAAAAGTTTGAGGTGTCTGAAGTAGAGATCGAAAACTCTAAATCTGTTAGAAGTGAGTTGCGTGTTGCTGTAAACTCACTATTGAAGGTAATCATTTTACTCTGCTCCTTATTTATCTTAAATCCTTTTGATTTAAAGTCAATCTTCATGATTCCTTGTTCTAATTTTATCCTTCTTGCTTCTTAAAATAACAAATGAGTACGGTCACATATCATAGTTGGTGAATTTTAATATGATTGTTAAAAGCCGTGCTGAGTTTCAACTAACTAATGGTGAATGGAACATTGTTAGTTGCCATTGTATGGAGTGCCAATAATTTTTTATTTCCTATTTTCTTTTTATAAAAATTCACCAATAATATATTCACAGATAAACAAAGTGTGTTGTGGGAGGATTATAATATGTGGTTGTTTAAGAGTTAAAACTGATACTGAAATTTATAAACTTACGTGAATGTAAGTCGTAACATTGGGTATCCATTGGGAAAAAAACATTCTAAATACAATTTATTGAAAATAATAAAAAATACTGCAGAATGCATGCAGAAAATTCTTTCAAGGATGTAAGTGGATACTTTTAATGGATTTTATGTTTCAATAGACTAATTTCTTATGAAGTTTTCTTTTTAAATTTTAGTAATTTATATTTATATTCCAAAAAGGGAAAACATAATTGTTCTGAGTTTAATACATTTTAATGCTCTTAAGGACGAAGGAGTTTTGGTGATCCCTACTGTAGCTGATCCTCCTCCCAAATTAGGCGGAAAGGAGATCCTATCTCATGATTATCAGAGCCGTGCATTGAGTCTGCTAAGTATTGCTAGCATATCAGGTTGCTGTCAGGTAAACATTTCACCGTCATGAAATTTGCGTAGTGTTATCTTTTTTTTTATATTTTTTTTTTACAAAATTTGTTTCCTCAATCAATATCATTGCACTCTCTGATTGATTTTCATTAGTGATAGAACTTAATTTACTACTCTGCATCTTTTGTTCATATTCTCCTAATTTATCCATTCAGGTCACAATACCATTGGGATTTTATGACAAGAATCCGGTTTCAGTGTCCTTGATAGCTCGGCATGGTGGTGATCGCTTTTTGCTTGACACACTTAAGACCATGTATACAGTTCTCCAAGAGCAGGCTGATATTGCTGCCCCAAGTAAATCATCAAAAAGTGTTGTTAGCAAGGAACAATCCGCTGAGACTGCGAAAGAAAAGGTATTGCTGTAAATACATCAGAAAAATTTCAGCAGTTACCTTATTCTTTTATTGCAATTGTCTTATACAACTGGGATGGTTATAGATCTAAATCACTAGTGACATTTAAAACTATACTGTTATAAAACCATAACTATCTTTAATTTTTAGTCCACAAACTTTGTAGCGCGTGTCTTGGGTTTTTAAGTGTAGAGTTTGTTTTTCCAATTTTTATGGGGAATTTGTGTATTACTGCTAATGTTGATGCGTATATAATGGTTTTATCACAACATTTACTTGGTATATGCGTATAGCTAAATGCCAAGCATCTATGATCTTTCTTTTGTCCTCCCACCCACCATTCATACATATAGACATTTACTTTGCAAACAACTCATAAATTCTGATCATGGAACACTTTTACTTTCTCCTGGAGGCCAAACCATGCAGTCTTGTTAACATTAAATTTTGTTCCTTCCATAAGCATCGCTTATGTCAAAAGGTTGATGCTTTCTTTAAGATGTTATAATTTATCCTTGACCTTCCCCTATAATTTATGTTCCCCTTTTATTAAGATGCATCTGATATTTTTGCTTGTTAATTCTTAGTTCCTTTTGTGCTTGCTCTGTTCACTCATTATTTTTGTATTCATAATTCAATGATTCAGGGAAATCAAGCCTACAAAGATAAGCAGTGGCAGAAAGCCATTGGATTTTATACCGAAGCTATTAAACTTTGCGGCAATAACGCAACATACTATAGTAACAGGGCTCAAGCGTATCTAGAACTGGGCAGGTAATGTGTCATTCTTTGTTTATTTCTCGAAGTTTCCTGCGAACTAATGGTTTTTCTTCTTCTGTTAATCCAGTTATCTTCAAGCTGAGGAAGATTGTACAACAGCAATAAGTTTTGACAAAAAGGTAACTTTTAGCTTGAAATTTTTTTATAAGCTTATTTCATTATTTTGATGGATGGCAATGTCATTATTGACTTGTGACAATCTTGTCATCATTCCAAATGCATATACTTAATGAAAATTAAGCCTTTGTAGTAATTGAATCAGGATTCAGTTGTGAAGAATAAAAACAATGAGTTGTATAAATGGATTCAATAATTTTTGCTCTTAGAGATTAAAACAAGTAGAAAAAGAGAGAGAAGTAGATTTTGGGATATGCGTGGAAAATGCAAGGAAAAAAATATTTTGGATACTGTTCAATTTTTACTCTTCATACAAAGTACAATTCAATAGTTCACATTCTTGATTATTGTCCTTTCTTCATTATTGTTTTAAACAGAATGTGAAGGCCTACTTCCGCAGAGGTACAGCTCGAGAGATGTTAGGCTACTACAAAGAAGCAATTGATGGTAAGATCTTTTATTCTAAAATTTGTTTACAATTTTTCATTTCTTCAAGAAAATTGAAGGGGTTTCAAAATTGAAAATCGACCTGTAACTATTAACTGCAAGCATGGTTAGCCACATATTTTTTTTCTGGTAAAGTTCACCTGGTTCTAAAATTATCTAAAATATAAGATTTAACACAACTCTCACTCATTGGGTTTAATTTGATAATTTGATTCTGTTTATGAGCTTCGAGTATTTCTTTTATGCGAACTTAAAAATCATGTTTTGCTGATGATTGGAAGATTTCAAAATTCAAGCTTAGAATTGTTTGTGATGAAATCTGGCGTTTACCGTCACAAATAGAACAACTGCATATTGACATGGTTACATTCTTTTAACCTCATTAGTGTTCTCATTTTCATACGAAGATTTAGAATTTCGAAAGTTTACACTAACGAAAAGACTTGGCTTACAGATTTCAAATATGCCCTTGTACTTGAGCCAACCAACAAAAGGGCCGCCTCATCTGCTGAAAGGTTGAGGAAACTATTTCAGTAGATAAATAATTGGTAATGCAAGATTTTAGAGCTGAATAATTGGTCTTCTTTGGGCGACACCACCGATACATGCCGCCTGCTGTTATTTATGCCCTGAGATGATTGATTGATGAGTTTCTAGTTACAATAATCATACACGAGTGATATTGATTCTTTTATCATTCAAGGCTCGGTAATTCATTCATACCTGAAAACCAGATTGAATTCCAATTTTGTTCGAGGTAAATATATTAGAATTGTAATGAGTCAAGTACTTCAATTTGTTAGTGCTTTTAGTTGACAACTTTAAGAGGCAAGATGTATTGTTTCCTGTTAGTACTTTAAAGTGGATCTAGGTTGAACTACAAATCCGAATGCAAAATTATCGAAGTTGCAATATGTTTTGCTTATCATGAGCTCGTTAAGGGGTGAGAGAGTTTTGGATTTTTTTATTCGAGAAAAAAAATTAACATTTTTGAAAAGCATGATTTCGGACCGAATGATAAAAGTTGGTTATTAGCATATTTACAACAATAAAATTATATTAAATCAATTTAAACACTAAAATTTATTGAACTTTTCTTTTAATATAGTTTTTTTATTTTTTTTTAAACTAGAGGAATTTTGTAATTAATCTTTTCTTTTAATATAGTTTTTTTATTTTTTTAAACTGAAGGAATTTTGTATTATGTGTAACAAAAAGCCGTCAAAATTTTCTCTAATTAATTTCTTTTATTCCTTTGGTACCATTTTTTGTTTTCTTTTTTAAATTTCAGTTTTTTCTTAAAATTATTTTTAGGAGTTGGACAAGATTTTTTATTCATAAACAAAGATTCTATTTTTTTAAGAGATGGAGGTAAATTTTTTCTAATATAACATGTTTATTCAAAAAAAAATTATGAATAAATTAATATTTTAAAATACATACTAAAATGTCACTGTTTTAAAAAGGAGTCGTCATATGAAATGATCGATCAAAGTTTTTTAGACTTGATTCACCATTTCATATGCGCATGAGTTAATTTTGTGTTGCCCTATCCTATCCTATATTGAGTCGGAAGATGCATCAGTTGTAGGGTATTTTTTTTTGTTGCTTTTTTTAATATTTGATTTTTGTTTATATTTTATCACATTTAATTAATATTTAATATTTAATATTTAATTTTTGTCACATATTTAGTTATTTTATAAAAAAATAAAATAAAATAATAATATTTATAATATAAAAAAGCTATAATATTATACAACAGATAAAAAAAATCAATCAAAACGACCACCGGTACCACATTGGAGAGGATTCGCGCGGCGTTGAGGTCTACCACGAGGTTGTTGAGGTGTATCTGGTCTTTGCATGTTTACTTGTGGAAGAGGTATTTGTTGAGATGGTCTTGGTGTATCGGATAAATTTAAAGCATTTGACTCCAATAGTCGGGCTAGTCGTTGTCAACGACACTTCTGTAATTAAGTTAAATTCTCATGTTTTCGTAGTTTTTTCGGGGATGTTGGGTGTGGTGTGGAAGATATGGCTGTTCGAGTTGGTACATCAAATCGGTTTGGAACAATGTAATGGTTGTTGTGGGGTTTGGTAGTCAAAAAGTGGATAGGTATTTTGTCGGTAGGAAGATTGATTGTCTGGTGTGGGGTCAAAAGAGTTATCTGGACTATAGGTGGATGGGATAAAGTCAAAAGATGTATCAGGAATATATGCAGAAGTGGTGTCGGTTTCAGAAGGCTGGCCGTAGGGGTAAGGCTCTTGTTGTTGTGATTGGGTTGGTGGCATGTGGCATGTGGCATGTATGGGTTGCGATTTTGGAATATTGATTGGGTGAGCATAGTTGGATGTTGGGTATACCATGGTGTTTGATGTTGGGCATTGGGTTGCTGTTGTGGGTTCGAGGAAGACACACGTTGCCTTGGGTCAATCAAATATGTCGGCCCAGACACAAATTGTTGTGAGGTTGTAATCGACCTAAACCAAGTCATATATTGATAAATTGGTCTAGCCCCTTCTACAATAGGGTCGGTTAAGATGTGTTGATGTCGGTTCTTCCAATGTAGACACATCTCTTTGCAAAGTTCTTCAAATGATTTACACTTCATTTGTGTATCCACTCTTAGCTGATGTCAGTGTCCCAATGTCGTTGGAGCATCTGGAATATTCTGATGCATTCTGAACTGTAGTTTCACCTGGTCACTTTGGTGCATCTCCACTGTAGTGAACCAAATGATAGGTGTTTTAGATGTTCACACGGTAGCATCATTGGCGTTGGGCTGGTGGTCGAGGCCCTCGTACGACATCCAGACAAACTACATTAACAATATATGTAATGAGAAATACATGTGTTAATCAATTAGACAAAGTAATGGTAGATAAATTACATCATCTGGCCCAATGTGTTCAATAACGTTACGGTACACGATTATGCAGTTCCTGGGACATCTTTGGTAATTCATTTCCGGAACAGACCACCTAAAAAAAAGAAACACAAATAAATTAATTACTAAGAAATATTGCACAAATAATTAAGTTACAAGAAACATCGTTTGTGTAACACCCACTCTATCCCGTACGCGTATTATAGGAATATTAAAGAAAATACATCATAGTTTTCAAAACACGTAGGATGTCACATAGACATTTTTCTTATTCAATGAAGTATCAAATCACTTCATGCTTTCTACAATATTTCAATAAGATCATTCAATAAAACAACGGAATAAAATAAATGTTTAAACATAATCCCCACAACCGGTGGTTATACATCATTAATCCAACAGATAAAAGATACATAACAATTAATCAAACAAATAAGCAAAATATAACGTAATCACGTCATCCCATGTTACGTATCAGAGCGACTCCTAGGACTCGATCAAATAGCAACACACTCCAAGTACTACTCAGGTACCTGGTCATCTGCACTCTCCAAGGAGCACAGACGCAACAAACAGAAAAGAGGTGATAACTACATTCAATAAATAAGCGGTGAAATACACATGCTAAGGAGTAGTTACACATCACACATACAATCATACACATGCAACACACATACACGTGCCATCTCAATCACTCGGCATTAATAGCCCATAGTCAAATACAAATATGTAATGTGACTCACTGACTCGACACAATGCACGTGGTACCAACATAAATACATACGGTTCACCCTAGAACCCGATTCCCATCGAAATCCGGATAAGTCGTATACGTTCCTCTGAACTATAACTTAACTCCACAACGACTTCCACATGAAGTCTGGATGAACTAGGCACCCATCATGGATTCCCACCTAGTCATCTCCACAAGACACATGACATGAAATGCATGACAACACTATTATGCAATTGTAATAATAATTTTAAGCATAATTCACGATCATCAATGATTCACACAAGCCATCCGCTCACCATAATTCTCCCGGGAATTACCATCATCACACCAGATCGTCCACATTAGACGGTCCTGACCCACACATATCAGTCACCCCCTAAGGGAAAAAATGTGATTTTCCACATTTTCACTAATTAAATTCATTACTAATCGTCCTTAGGTTCATTTTAGTCATATTAATCCTATCGATTAAACGGAATTGCGTTCCAAGCGAAATTTAGGCAGGAATCACGAAAATGGGAAAAGCCATCCCATGCCTGTTACGCATATTGCCTTGCTGTCAGGCCCATCATACGCGTATTGCCCAGCTGCCAGGCCCACCATACGCGTATTGCCCTACCTGTTATGCGTATTGCCCAGCTGTTACGCATATTGCCCAGTCTGTTACGCGTATTGCCCTGTCCCATACGCGTATCACCAAAACTGCTGCCAAATATTTAGATTTCATCCCTTTCACGAATCCTCACTCAATACTCTTCATTTTACCACTCAACTCAACCCAGAATTCATTTTTTTTAATCATTTCTCTCTACCTTCACTATACTTCATCTATCCATTATTCTTTCCAGATTTCTATCATGTAAGGTTCAATTTCGTTAACCCTCTAACCCTTATTTTTCAGATCTGTTACCTGTCGCAACTGCGAAAAACACCCGGCGAAAAATATAAGAGTCGCCACCTTCCGTTATTTATTCCAAAGAGAGGGAAAAGAAACGATCGAAAAAAACCTGACGAAAAAGGGAAAGACAAGGTCATCGCAACTAAGTCTTGGATTCGGGAGTCGGTTACGCAAGGGAAAGGTATTAGAACCCCTCACATTTCTCGTACTCGACGGGATCCACACTTGTTGTCTATCTAAGGGTGTGTTTAAACTATCTACGCTACATGCTTGTGGACAAAAAGAAAAGAAAAGAGACTCGGCAGAGCATCGCCGCTCTGTGCCTATGTATTCCCTCGTGCAATGGGAAAGTCAGAGTCAACGTAGTTCGGCTAACTACGGGAGAGAATGGGGAAAGGTTGCTCGCCAAGACATCACGTTTTGTGCCTACGTACTTTCATCTGGTATGAAAGATCAGAGCAAACATAGTTCGGGCGGACACGAAACCACGGGTTGATTAAGTGTTTTAACCGAGTAGGGTTAAACATCCGTTCCAGCATTTAGGGACTAAGCCTGTTTGCGGTAGAACCGAAACTTAACAACACTCTTTTCTGAAAAAGTTTCTGATTAATCCCGAAGGAAAAAGGTTTGAATTTGTTTTGTGTTTTTTAGTGAAGTGAATTAATTCGGTTTGTGATTCACGTTGCACTAAAGACTATGACATGGAGGCGAATGCATCGTATATCGCCCCCAAACGGGACATATACTAAACATTCTAGATAAGCGAGAGGAGACCCCTCACTCATCATTCCCCATTTAGCTTAAGGCTCGTAGAGCACATCGTCCTTGTTCAGATAAAAATTACCAGCTAACCTCCTCAGAGTCTTCTTATCTTTGCTGGATGCCCTGGATGGGTACTCCTGAGTCTTGAGAAAATGCTTGATATCGCAATACCAAGGCTTTCCATCGGATGTCTTCTCAACGGCAAACCCAAAAGCAGGTCTATCAAGACACATGGTGGTGATATCAGGAG